CCCCCCCCCTCCCCAAATATGCGTTATATTAATAGAATATTTAAAGTACTCGATGAAGTTGATTTCTCTAATAGTTATACAAACCAAGTAAGAGTTTCAGAAAATAATTCATTTGAGGCGAGTGAGCTTCCAATCAGTTTACACCTTCTGGCCAATACGACAAAAAGAACATACAGCGACCGCTTCTAAGCCTTAATCAGTAGTCATATATTCAGTTTTGCACAGACTTCCACGCTATCCCAACCACCTCAATGCTGCTTCTGTTACTGGAGAACTAATCATAGGAAGAAAAAAACAGCAACAGCTGCCAATAAATTATGAGATGCAGTGTATGTTAAAACACCAAGGGAATAAATAAAGAAGCTTCGATTGACTGCCGAAGAAGACTACCGTGTATGTACATCCCGAACCTGACTGTAGCCAAACATGAATAAGCAGCCAAAGCAATCGGGTGTACAAAAAGAATTGGTTTAAAAAAATTTCTTGTTCGGTGCCAGTTGTCATTAAAAAAAAAATGCTGACACAAAACGAATTTTACAATTAAAAATCTTAAATAACTGTCAAATAAGCAAATTTACAACCAGACTTTGCTGAATGCTAATTGAACAAGAGTTTTAAAAAAAAAATTGGTTTTGCCCTCTTTCTTTATAGCGGCTGGAAACGTCATATAAATACAAATCTTTCACCCTTACTTTTCTCGCAATCCTGTCAGTTCCAATAAGAAAAATATTTGAAACTCTGAACACGACAAACATATTTCTAGACTACGTAACTGATCGTGAACCTTCTTATTGCTGGTACACATCAGTGAAAAGCGAACTGTAGAAATTATGATAGGTGAGGTCAAAGGAATATTTTTTTTCAACGTAATTTTACAAAACTGCAGTTCCTCTTTTTCAAACAGTGCTACCTCCCGTAGCGCAGTAAAGCCTCTATAAGTTTTCTTAAATACCATTCAATCATAAATCAATCCTACCAATAAACAACGATTAAAAACTCGAAGAAGAAATTGTTGTTTTAGCCTTAAGAATAGAAACTAGCTTGAACCTTAGACGATTACTTATTAACAGAATCAACATTTTTAAAGTAAAAACAAAATTTTTTTCTTCTCTAAAAACGAACTGTATTTCTACCAGCTTTTTAAATATCACTTCAGCCTCATAATACTCAATCACCTGATCACCACAATAGAATTTTTCAGTCTCATAAAGTTTAGAAATCGATTAACACACGAATCTTTTTACGATAAATGATAAGCTTTGAAAATGCCTAACTGAAATGCCTTTATTCTACCACATTGCCACAACAACGTATCTCAAGTCGCCATTCACACATCACTTACCACTCACTTTCCTCTACAAGTTGTAGAAGTGTCTAAAATAAGCACTATAAAGGTAAAATAATTAATTTCAATAAATAACCGACTCCCAATTTTCATTTTGTTTGTTTCAAAATAAATTTAGACAATAACAGAAAAGATACTGCAAAAATCGCCCTGGAACAAAAGTTCAAAGCATAACAAGTGTTGGCAGTTGACTGCACAATAACTCTTGACCTTTATAATATCTAAAAAACCTAACAGAGGATTCAAGAACATCAATCAAAAAACTATTCACTTAGAAGGCTTTATTATCACATTATTAGACAAAACTTTTAACAGCAATAGACTGTATGAAACACTTGGATTTGCCACATAATTTTCGACTTCTATTTTCAAGACTGAGAAATAACGTTTAGAATAAAAAAGTAGTGTTGCTTATATAGGTATTTGGTGTAAGCTGTAATGCGATTAAATAGAAAATGCCTACAGAGCTTAAACGATCTTGTTGTCTAACTAACCATAACCTGCAAAAACGCCATAACATTCACCATAACAACTATATAGTGATACGCCTTAAATTTTCATCACTAAAACATTGAGAACTTTCACAGGTGGCAATAACAGTACTTATTATTGCAGCAGGTTATTACCCTATAAAGTAACCTAGCGAAAATGACATAATGACTGGCACAGCAGATCAAAACAGTAAATCATTGGTTAGCCGCTGAATGTTAAAAATGTTTTTCTTAACTTCGTGTGAGTCTGCATGGAATCTGTCAGTTTACTATACGACAACACCTTATAATAAAAAGGCAGTAAAAACAAAAAGCAGTCTTCTACAATTGATACTTCCACTACCCGACATGTTTCAATATAGCAGTGAGCAGCCTACAACAGGAAAGTGAGGGTATTCTAAAGAAAAAGGTTCCAAAAGCATCTCTTACTACTCATAAAACATTTGACACCGCTATAATTCAATAAAATTTTGAAATTAGAAGGACATATAAAAATCCAATGGGTAAAAAACAACATTTTCAAAGAAAAAGCATTCCTTCGGCGAGAGTGGGATTTTGAAATCCTGGCCTCTTTTACAAGAAACCTATGCTCTTCGCGAGCCTCCCTTTTTAACCTTTTTTTTCTTTTCACTGTTCGCTCAATGAACTTTTATTTCCCGACTTTGCAACTTTTGCAAATTAAAGAAAAGAATGGAACAGAATGAAAACAAAGGAAGCAAAAGATGGAAAAAGTAAGAAGTGCAGAGCAACAAAGGAAGGGAAAAGTTTGAGGTGAGAAAAATGAGTGAGGAAAGAAAGGAAAAAAAGGAAGATCCATGAGAAGAGGTCAGGAGGACACGATGACAACAAAGTTAAAAAGGAAAGCTGACAAAATGAAAATGCACCACAGAGGAAAGCTGATGCTAATACAATAAAATCGAAAAGGTGAAACGGATATACCAGAGCTCTTGTAATACCAAAAATTATACATGTTTTATAATATGATGTTTGCAACTCAGAAATTTTTGCGGTTCATCTCAGAAAAACACTTAAATTAGCGCTGAACATAAACTGAATCAAAACTCATGGAATCTGGAACATATCTGCAGGTTACAAATTGAAAATATGACTTTATGGGTCAATGTTTATGGTCAAGATTTATTTCCAGTTACATATCTCCTACAAGAACTTGTACCACTGAATTGACAATTTTCTAATTTAGAGGATCCGGAACAGACGAATGTTGAATTAATAGAGGTTGAACCATAACTCAGAAGGTTTGGTGAATGACCTTTGTAAAGCTCATTCTGAATATTTCAGAATAACTGCAAATAGGACTGAACCCGCAATTTTTGACGTAATGAAGTTCTGAAGTTTAAACAAAAATAAAACTTATTCTGTCATCCAACAATTTGTCATAATCGTTGACTGAACTTTACTGATAAGCCTGAGCTGGATAAGAACGTTTTTTTTCAGAGAACAGAAGCAGCACCGAATGTAGAGCAAAACACCAGAACATCTGAAAACTTCTGAGATTCGTATAAAAAACTGAGTTTTGGAATATTTCCAAATTCGTACGAACTGTGCGAAAACCGCTTTAGATTAGTTACAGAATTTATACGGTACATAACAAGCTTAATGGAACTATTCCAGTAAATGGAGTGTTTATAGCAGCTACCAATTTTCTTTTTTGGGCAGGGAACGGTAATCTCAATTTGAAACGAATTTGTTTATTTGAAAACTGTATTCGGTAACCCGCTTTTCACTGTAATTAGCAATTAAGGTAGTCTAAAACTTGGGTTTTTTTATAATTGTGATTTAATGTTAAACAAAATTTCCGAATTGTTTAGCCGATTTGTCTTAAATGAATGGCTTGATATACTGAGAAGTAATTCTTACTGCTGTTCTTTTTTTTTCAGTTTGTCCCCGACGAAGTTGCTGCTCGATAAGAACACCACTTGCAGAGTACCAGTTATGGAGGATCCGTATTTGAATGTAAGTCTTCACAATTAGCCGGGGTTTTAAAATTACTTGCCGTTTAATTTAATTAGTTTTAGTGTTCTGAAGTTGGTTTAAACTATAGTTTTGAGCTTGCTTCCAACCGCACTGTAATTGTTGGTTATATTTTTAGTGTTGCTTTAGGTGGTTTCTGAATTGCTAGATATTATTGAGTGCGTGGAAACGGTATTAGACGGGGTTTGTCTGTGCAATAGGAAAGATGACCAGCAAGGAACTGATTTTTTTGTGGTTGATACTTTCGGCTCGTTTAGGTATTTTGTTCTGTTTCTTAGCCTCATTTTTGTTAAAGCTTTCTTTCTCTACATAAGCTTTTGGAAATATCAACTAAATGTTTTTTTACAGAACACCAAAAAAAGACTCTTCCGTTGATGGCGATTGTGATGACAGTTCGGAAGAAGACTTTAATTGGTATAATGTTTAATTTCTGACTTTTCTTTTTCCAGTATTAGCTGGTTTCCACCGAGTTAATTTTGAAATTTACCTTATTTGTTTAAACTCTACTTTAGTATTTTGGAAACAGCTCGCCACCTGAGGCAAAAAGAGACGTCTAATGGTTTAGAAGACGACGAAGAGGAAACTCTGCCTGCTGCTTACCAAACGGATGCCAAGTTCGTAGAGTACGAGTATGACAAACTTCCACCCACAACAAAATTAATGATACAAATAGACGGAAACGTAGAGCTGCAAAAACTTGGTTATGTCACTCATATTGTAGATTGCCTGAGTGAGTATAGTTTTAAAAAATATTCTTTTTTGCCGTTATTACCTTAGGTGCTTTTCCAATTCTACTTGGTAATTTTTTTTAGTTGTTATTCAGTGCTATAACAACATCGCTCTCGACCTCGATTCAGTTCTTTTTGCTGAGGATCGCACTGTAATTGGCCAAGTAATTTAGTTTTTCCAGTACGGAACTTAGTTGTGCCATTGTACTCTAAAGTTGAGAAATTTTTTAGGTCTTCGATGTTTTCGGTGCTGTTTCAAACCCACTGTATTCAGTTCGGTTTAATAGTCCTAACGAAGCTCAACAACACTGTATTGGCAAAGTTGTCTATTATGCTCCTCATTTGGAAGATCTTACTCACACAATCTTCACTGATCAGTTGAAAAGGTCATATCACACTTTGTCAGTCCTGCTTTGCAAAGTTTGATTTGTATGTTCTGATAGTTTTGTAATTATAAGTTTAGCTTAAAAATTTGCGACTCCTGTTGGGATGGAGAAGGAGAGTGTCCAGACGACGAACTTGCTTTTAGTGATGATGAAGAAGAGAAACGGTACATGGCGAAAGTGAGACACAATAAACACAGCAAGAACTGGAGACGAGGTTAGTTCAAAATATTTTAAAAGATAGTTAAGCAAATAAATTTTTGGAAGATTTTAAATATTTCATCGTATTTAGATAGTGAAAATTTCCTTTTAAAAAGCAATCTGAGTCGGGTGCTCAGTACCGACAAACATTCTTCCATTCTTCAGACGCACCAAACCGCGAATACCAAAAAAAGACTTCTAAATTTTCGCAGGGGCACTACAACTCACCTCAAATTTACAACTCTCCTAAAAGAAGGCGGTTTGGCCATTTTGGAAACCGCAGATTTAATCCAACTACGGAGGAAGTTACCCCCGCTGGTGCCACTGACATTCCGTTGTTTTCTCCATCAAACCTGTAATTCTTCGATAATTTTAATTTGTTTTGGCTGAATAGTCTTAAGATCTTTTCGTTGTCCATGCCTTAGTAGCACTCTGTTAGAGAGGGGAAAATGTAATCATTTCTTGTGTACCATCTGTTGTAGAAGTTTACATATCTTTCTTTTTGGTCATATAATTTTTCAGCGGGTTTAAAGCTGCTTGTGTTCCTCATCAAGTTGGTACTTCGTCACTAAACTACACTGTAAGACCATCTCCCAACTGGCCTCCGCTTCTCTATGGAAGTCAGAGTACTCCCAACGACACTTGGTATATGATTAAAGTTTTATTTCTTTTGTAGCGCTTCATATTCATTTTTGGTCTAAGGCTGCTTTTATTTGTCAGCTTGAATGTGCAGTGCTTTTCTCCTTCTATCCCTCAGCCTTTTGTTGCTCTAGGGTAGCTCAGCAAACAATGTTTCTGCCTACGGGAGCTCCATTTTCGAGAACATTTAACGCCAGCACGACCGCTTCCTCCCGAGCCACTCCAAATGTTAGACCTGCAGAGCAGAATGAAGAAGTTCCGGTTATTATAGACACTCGATTAGTGGAGAACGGGACTGCGGCAGAGAAAACTTAAATTCTGAACGATGGGGAGCCGAAAATTTACTATTTCCCTCTTCTTTTTTTTGCTTGATGTACATATTGCTACCGTGCAATTTTGCTAAGATGCTTTATTTTTATTTCATCTATTCATCAACATAGTAAGCTAAGTTTCCTTGTTCCTATCAGATGCGCACACACTCATTGGTATTTCATGGATAGTTGCTTAATATGTTAAGAGAAATGTCCTTCCATACCGATCTTAGTATGAACAAAGTTTGAAGTCGTTCTAAAAATTTTTTTGTTAGCCGCCTCAGCTTATTTTTGGGGAACTCTGACATGATAAGAAAATTATGTTAGCATTAGCAGAGAGAGAGGTGTAGAAACATGATGTTGAAGGTATTACTGGTGGAGCCAAAAGCATGTATTTATTAGTGGCACTGATTTCTAAGATTTAGACCGTTGAATTTGTTTAGAGCCGTAGTCTGTTTTCTGTTTTGGTGTAAGAAAGTTGAGTATTTAAAATACTCATATTTATACATTCACAGTGTTTTTACAGATGTAGGTAATAAAGTACAGTGCTGATTTGTGAGCACTGTATGACCTTAGGCAATTAGTCGGCTGGAACGTAAAATTCCTGAAGAAGCTGTTTTTGAAACTGCTGTTTTTTAGCTTTCTTTTTTGTGCCGTTACGAGCGTAGCTTGGAGGGAATTTGAAATAAGCAAGATCTTACAAATCGATCATAAAGGTGTATTTCTAGACCGATGTTGTCCACTTTACCTTCTTCAGTCAATTAAAAATACCACAAAAAATTTCTAGAGTTCCTGAAATCTTTTTTCAAAACCCATATTATTAAAACAATAGAAAAGGTGAGTTTAATGAATGATATTCAGGAATGATTTTTTCGATAAGAGTGCTTAATATTCAAATGCTCTTTTCAATTAGCGCCCATTTCGGCTTTCGTTAAAGTCTACAAATTGCGCTGCAAGGTGCAGGTCTCGTTAGCTTAACGAATATTCAAATCAAGTTTAGAACTGCAGAAAAACAGTACTGAGAATTAAAGAAAATACTGCACTGTCAAGGAACAAATGCTGCAGAGCTGTGTAAAATGGAGACGATACATTTGCAGCTGGGAGTGCCACAGTTCCGGATGTATGGAGAGGATAGGAATTTGAACCAACTTTGACCACTAACTTTTTGCGAGAAAAAAATCATTTTACAACAGAGACTCACTAGATGATTCAAGAACTAAAAGCTACTAAATTTACAAGGGGCTCTTAAAAGTTCTAATCTGTGACCCATTACCTTTTACAAATGAAGAACAAGAAGATAAAAACAGTTTAACCTCTCTGCTGCTGCTTGCACACTTTTATTCGACTTTTCAAGACCGCTGTAATTTAGTCGTGTAGTAAATTGCAGCAACGGACTTTAAGAATAAGCAAACTTACCTTTAAAGTCGATTTCAGTACCAAATTGATTTTTCCAGCTGGATGTGAAAAATTTCAAAATTTTCTGATTCTTGAATTTGCTCGAAAAATCTTTTGACAGGCCCTCTAAAAAATCAGAACCGGCCAAGCCTAAATTAATTTTGAAATATGTATCCAAAAAATACCATTTTTACGGATACTTTTACACTTTGTGTACACAAAAGAGCGAGCGACTAAGTCCAAGTGAAAAATAAATTCTGAAATTGGCGTTGCAAATGGATAATTAGAGCGGCTCTTTTAGTAAACATTATTTAGACCTTTTGTTTTACCAAATAAAAAACCATGGATAAATTTTATGACCTTCAACAACAGTCATTAAAGTAAACCGGAATGAAAACAAAATACCACATTGTCATTACACCCATCAAAAAGCTTATCTAATTTGCCTTAGAATTCAAAAAAAAATCCTTTTCCTTTGAAAACAGAAAAACTTTTTTGCAATGCCTCTTCAATACTGCTTTAACTTTTCTTCTTGCGCCAACAGCTTCTTCGCGTTGCACATTGTGTCAGAATAATT